ACACAAACACATAATACAAATACATATACAATATGAACACATATCGACATACATATGTACCCCCATACAGGTATAAAAATACACACAAATATAAAACCATATTATACACTTACACCTATAAACATACCTACACGCATACATAATCGTACACATATCTAAATAAATATAAACATTCAGTTATAATATTTTGACAAATGTTGTTTTACATATAATTTGAATTTATTGGCATCATTAGTAAGCAGGATATGTTTTGGCAAATAATTCCATTCTTTCATACCTCTAAACACAACAGTATTTTTTATGGCATTTGTTCTTACTATGGGTAAAGTAAAATTACCCTTAGTTGCATGCCTAGTACTATACTGGTGATTTTCTACACTGAAAGAAAGATGCTTGAACAAGACAGAAGGAAACGATAGACCTAAAAGACGCGTACTTCCATATCTCCATCCTTCCGCAACATCGGAAGTTCCTGAGGTTCGCTTTTGGGGGCGAAGCGTACCAATATCGGGTCCTTCCATTCGGCCTAGCGTTATCTCCTCGAACCTTCACGAAATGCATGGACGCAGCCTTGGCCCCGCTGCGTCTCCAGGGCATTCGCATTTTAAATTACATCGACGATTGGTTGATTCTGGCTCAATCAGAGCATCAGGCGATTCGGCATCGAGATGCCGTCCTCGCCCACATCAGAAGGTTGGGGTTGAGACTCAACGCGAAGAACAGTGTGCTTTCGCCAGTTCAGCGGACCACTTTTCTAGGCGTGGTATGGGATTCGACGACGATGCAGGCACGTCTCTCGCCGGCTCGTATAGCCTCGATTATCTCGACTGTCACGCAAGTGAAGCTAGGCCAGTCACTCACTGTAAAGGAATTCCAGAGAATTCTGGGTCTGATGGCAGCAGCATCCAACGTGTTACCGTGCGGCCTGCTGTACATGAGACCACTACAGTGGTGGCTCAGGACCAAGGGGTTCTCCCCGAGGGGAAACCCGCTCCGCAAGATCAAGGTCACGCGACGTGGTCTCCGTGCCCTGGCTATGCGGAAAGAACCTTGGTTCCTGTCCCTGGGACCTGCGCTGGGAGCCCCGTGTCGCCGGGTAACGGTGACGACGGATGCCTCTCTCACGGGCTGGGGAGCGATCATGAGTGGTCGCTCGGCCCGCGGGCTGTGGCAAGACCATCATCTCCGATGGCATATAAATTGTCTAGAGATGATGGCGGTGTTTCAGGCTCTGAAACACTTTCTCCCAGACCTCAGAGATCATCATGTTCTTGTCCGGTCAGACAACATGTCTGTGGTCTCTTACATAAACCACCAGGGGGGTCTGCGCTCACGTCCATTGTACAAGCTGGCGCGCCAGATCCTGTTGTGGTCCCAGGGGAAACTTCGGTCGCTGAGAGCGATTTATATCCCAGGATACTTAAATCGGGGAGCGGACATCCTGTCGAGGCAGGGGCCGAGGCCCGGGGAGTGGAGACTTCACCCCAAGGTGGTGGAGCTCCTTTGGAGACACTTCGGTCGGGCCGAAGTGGACCTCTTTGCGTCCAGGGAGAACTCACACTGCCCGCTGTGGTTTTCCCTGAGTCCTCCAGCTCTATTGGGGCTGGATGCGTTGGTACAGGAGTGGCCGAGGGCACCCCTGTACGCTTTCCCCCCGATTGCTCTGCTCCCAGGGCTTCTGGAAAGGATTCGCCAGGAGGGGCTCAGTGTACTTCTGGTGGCCCCCCGTTGGCCAACCAGGGTATGGTTTGCGGACCTGATTTCCCTTCTTGAGGGTCCTCCTCTGGAGATTCCGGTCAGGAGGGACCTTCTGTCTCAAGCAGACGGGGGGATACTCCACCCCCGTCCGGAACTGTGGAGGTTGTGGGCTTGGCCTCTGAGGGGGCCCAGCTCATAGATTCAGGTCTCTCGACTGAGGTCGTGGAGACCATCCTCCAGTCCAGAGCCCCATCCACGAGGAAGTTGTATGCCTCGAGGTGGAAACTGTTCACCTCTTGGTGTGGAGAGCGACAGTTGGATCCAGTTAACTGCCCGTTGTCGGCAGTGCTGGAATTCCTTCAGGAACGCTTCTCCACAGGGTTATCGTACTCCACACTAAAGGTGTACGTGGCGGCCCTATCCGCTTACCATGTCCCTTTGAGTGGAGCTTCTCTTGGGAGACATCCCCTGGTAACCCGTTTTCTTCGTGGTATCCTGAGGCTGAGGCCGGTAGTGCGTACGAGGGTACCGACCTGGGATCTAGCGGTTGTGTTGGAGGGGCTCTGTTTAGCCCCTTTCGAGCCCATTGATGAGGTGCCTGAGAAGTTTCTTACTCTCAAAACCATCTTTCTCCTAGCCATCTCTTCCCTAAAGAGGATTGGAGATATTCAGGCGCCGTCGGTTTCCCCCTCGTGCTTGGAATTCGCTCCCGGTATGGCGAAGGCTTTCATCCTCCCTAGACCGGGGTATGTTCCGAAGGTTCCAACTACGGTTGTCAAACCTATAGTGCTACAGGCCTTCTGTCCTCCTCCGTTTCGGACACCAGACCAGGAGAAACTAAATCTGCCCTGCCCGGTGAGGGCCTTATGTCCACAGAGCTGCCCTGTGGAGGGAATCAGAACAATTATTTGTCTGCTTTGGGCCTCCTAATAGAGGTTCTGCGGCGTCTAAGCAGAGAATGAGTAAGTGGGTGGTCGAGGCCATTTCACTTGCTTATGAGTCCTCTGGTCAGCCTTCTCCCTTGGCTGTCCGGGCTCATTCAACCCGGAGTATGGCTGCCTCTAAGGCATTATTATCAGGAGTTCCCTTGTGTGACATCTGTGAGGCGGCAGGATGGTCTTCACCTCACACATTTGTGAAGTTTTACCATCTGGACTTCAGCTCCACCCCAGGGGCTCAGATGCTTTCGTCAGAATGTGCACTCTGATATTCATACAACGGACACCTGCTCGCATGGCGGCGTTGGTATTAGCGTTCCCACGGCGTTTACACGCAGCTCGAAGTTCCCTGAATGGGAACGTCTCTGGTTACGTATGTAACCTTAGTTCCCTGAAGGGAACGAGACGCTGCGTGTCTATGCCATACTCCCAGCATGCCCGTGAGCGCTTGCTTCAGTCCTATCAGAAGCTGTTGCGCTTGTGTTTCGGGGATGCTTTATAGTTTCCTGGTCGATACGTCACCCCGCCTATGACGTTCCGTCTCGCCATTGGACAGATTTCATACGTGCTTCATGACTCGTCACGCAGAGGCGTTCCCCACGGCGTTTACACGCAGCGTCTCGTTCCCTTCAGGGAACTAAGGTTACATACGTAACCAGAGATGTTTCCATCGTCATCACCGGCGGCCATTTTGTCACAGACAAGCTGATGTAAGATGAGTGATCAGCACGAACACAAATACTCTTATCTCGTTGAAATCTTAACGGATTTACAAACGGTTTGGTTTCTTACAAATGTTTTTAACGTGGCTATAATTATCTGGATGATTATTTACCGGGGTTGGACAATGAAACTGAAACACCTGGTTTTACAACACAATAATTTGTTAGAATGGTGAGGGCCTCATTTTGCATCCAAATACAGCACCAATTGACAGATAATAGTCCTTCACAGTGACCAGAGGGATTATGAGCCGTTCCTCTTCCAGAACAGTGTCCAGGTCACTATATGATGCTGGTGGACTCGCTCCTCAAAACACCTCAATAATATTCAGATCTGGTGACTGTGCATGTTCAACGTCACTTTCATCTTCATCAAACCCTTCTGTCACAAGTCTTGCTGTGTGTGTTGGTGCATGATCATGCTGATACACGGTTTGAGCATCAGGTGCTCATGATCCTCCAGAAGGGTTTGGTAGTCCTCGGCAGTGTCGTGTGTGTCCATCAAATACAATCAGGATTATCATGATATTGGAGCTCAAACCATCACTGATCCACCCGTGCTTCACTCTGAAGATTGGCCGCCAGGCATGTGAAAACCTCCAACATTGGCCAGTGTTTCAGTTTCATTGTCCAACCCCAGTATTTATACACTTTTTATTCATAAGTATGCAGTGTAATAACTACATCTCTGACGTTTATAACAAAACAAACCATTTGAAAATCGGTAGAAAATTGAGCAAGTTATGGTCATTTAAATAGTACATGTACCATTACCACAATGTTATGAGTGAGTGAGCTGCCTGTGACAAGATGGCCGCCAGGTGCAGACGTCGACCTCCATTGGCCAGCAGCGTGGACGACATATCTAGCCTTTATATACATACCTATGGTACCCCCACCCACAGATTCCCGTTCTCAGACCGCTCATTTTTCGAGACAGCGCCTCCTGCTGTTCGGTAGATGGTATAACAATACAATAGGATGCAATATTACGGCCTAGTTTTATTTAGTTCTCCAAATAAATAGTTGCGTTCCCTGCTTAATGCATGTGCCAAAAAAACTCATTGTGTTACTGATGGAAGGGATACAATTACATATTTACACAGGCCTAACATTACCATGCTACCATTACAAAACCTGTTTTTTTTATATTTTGAATACGAAGCAAAACAAATAAGAATAGATAAAACACCAATAATAAACAAGTTTGTACTTACATTTATTCATTTAGCTGACGCTTTTATCCAAAGTGACTTGTAATTGCTATATATGTCAGAGGTCGCACGCCTCTGGAGCAACTAGGGGTTAAGGGACACATCTGTTTTGATCAAGTCTGGAGTTTTTATACATAATATGTTTACATATTCAACTAAACATATTTTGCATCAAGATCGACATGTTTAACTTCTAATCACACTATAATTATTATGATCATCGTCGTAATCATCATAATCTATCAGAAAAATGCCACCCTTAAAAATGAAGCCTAGTGGCATTAAATGATACTACAGCGAGACGTGTTTGAGCCAGAAAGGGTGTTTGGAGGGAAGATCACTGATTGGATAGTTTTCAGACGTCAGCCAATAGGAGACGGGCACGCTTTCTTTTATAAGGCAACTCACAACGGGCATTAGCATTGTATTTGATCCTCTCGTTAATCGAAAACAAACTCTAGTCATAATGAGTGGAAGAGGTAAAACCGGTGGAAAGGCTCGTGCCAAGGCCAAGACTCGCTCTTCCAGGGCGGGACTGCAGTTCCCCGTCGGCCGTGTTCACAGACTTCTCCGCAAAGGCAACTATGCCCAGCGCGTCGGTGCCGGAGCTCCGGTGTATTTGGCCGCTGTGCTCGAGTATCTGACCGCTGAGATCCTGGAGTTGGCTGGAAATGCCGCTCGGGACAACAAGAAGACCCGCATCATCCCTCGACACCTGCAGCTGGCGGTGCGCAATGACGAGGAGCTGAACAAGCTTCTGGGTGGCGTGACCATCGCTCAGGGTGGTGTGTTGCCCAACATCCAGGCCGTGCTGCTGCCCAAGAAGACCGAGAAGGCCGCGAAGGGAAAGTAAACTGACGGAAGCTTCTCTTCAAACCAAAGGCTCTTTTAAGAGCCACTCAATTTCTCTCCGACAGAGCGATTTCATGAATTCTATCATTGTTTAAGTTAAGATCAGCCCAGCATATATCAAAATCATTTGCTTTACCCTAGTCTACATTGTAAGTAACGTTAGCATAGTATTTTGAAAAAGTAACAAACAAAAGTATATGATTTCTAAGCATTTTTAATGGAGGTAGTGACACGCTGCATTATTATACACACTGTTGTCCAACCCCATCCCCCAGTTGTGCTATGAAAGGATTTTCATCCTGTGATTCCTATGTGCATCTCAATTTTTAAAATTAGTTGGCATAGTACATTACTTTTTTTGAACAGTTATGGGATATGATGCACAAATATACGATAAAAAACACTGACCTTGAAAGCAGAGGCAGCACAGACCTTGACAGCACAGCCATTAGCCGGGTCCAGGACACTTGTGCGCCATCCACGCCATGAGAGTCACCATCATGCCCAAAGACATCCAGCTGGCCCGCGGAGAGCGCGCTTAAATCCACAACTCACACAAACCCAAAGGCTCTTTAAAGAGCCACCTCAATAACTCTAAGAAAGATTTCTATATAATGGTATTTTGAAATATGAACATTTATATGCCACGTTGATTTTTAATGCACTAAAGGTTTTTTTTATTTATTTATAATTAAATAATATAGTTGTAAATATTTCTTATATTCGACTTATTTCCACTACTATAAGGCATCAAAAGACTGAACTGGGCATGGAAATGTGTTACTGGTGACGTTTACTAGAACCGCCCGTGAATGTGGTTTCAACTAGGTCCGCTAGCTGACTAGAAACCCCTGTTCTCCAGTGATGTTTTCTGTATTCGGTTGTTTTGAGCTGAAGAGTATTTGTCGACATGTCTGGAAGAGGAAAAGGCGGGAAAGGACTCGGTAAAGGAGGCGCTAAGCGTCACCGAAAGGTTCTTCGCGATAATATCCAGGGAATCACTAAACCCGCTATTCGTCGTCTTGCTCGACGTGGGGGTGTCAAGCGTATTTCTGGCCTGATCTATGAAGAGACCCGCGGTGTGTTGAAAGTGTTTCTGGAGAACGTCATCCGTGATGCTGTGACTTACACTGAACACGCCAAGAGAAAGACCGTCACCGCCATGGATGTTGTGTACGCGCTGAAGCGACAGGGACGCACTCTGTACGGGTTCGGCGGTTAAGAGATCCACGAAGAAGAAAAACCCAACGGCTCTTTTAAGAGCCACCCACACTTGCACATAAAGAACGAGTTTCTAGTTGTTGAAATTTATTGCAACGTAAATTAATGATTTGTTTTAGAAGGAAAAAAATTAGTGAGAAGAGAGTAGATAAATAAAAGACAAAATAAAACGTTTGATGTTTTCCTATTGTAAATTCCTTTAACCAGATGATTAAAATAACGAGTTTATCTAGTTTTAATGTATTATGAATTAAAAAAATAAATAAAAGCTGTTGATCTCAGGCAACGTTGTACCACAGTGGAACACAAATTAACAAACCATCAAATCAAGTTACCATATCCATCTTCATCCTCATCTTCACTCTCCTTGCTGGATTCACTATAACCTCATCTTCCTTATCATGATACAACCTCCTCACCCTCATCAACAGCCAGCTGTGTTTTATACCTTTTATAGGTACAGACAATCTGTAGATATAATATGTGAATTACTGTTCATTACAGATTTAATATTTATTTAATTCTAATTATTTATAACTTTTCATTGGCGAAAATATGGACACGTGCACAATGTGCTGAAACAAGACACAAAATGGCCCCTGTGGGTCATGTGATCACTATTTTGCACATTCATTGATTGGTATTTGAGTTCTTTTATCATGAGATAGGTTAGGTCTCATTTTATGAAACAAACAAACAAACAAACCTACCAACTATATTAGACCATGTTTCCTGGAGGCAACACCGTACCAAGCATAGAGGGTTAAGTGATTTGTATTTTTACTGTGCTATATTCACAGTTCTGATTTGTAGTTAATTTAACATCGTTATAAAGACTCTCGAAAGTTAGTGCTCATTGTTTGTTTTATATATATAAACTTTTTTATTTGTAGATTATCGTATATACACTTATACAAGGCCAATTCTTCTTTTAAATAAATGTTAAAATGATAGCTATTTAATCATCTACGTACGAAAGAAAATTTAAATGATTCCCAATAATCAATTTATTCATTCCTGAAAAATGCGGGAAAATGAAACAAAGAGAGATGAAGTCACGGGGGATGGTAGTTGTCGATGGGCGTGATTAACATTTCAAAGCTTCTGATTGGATCACCTACAGTTCAGGGAATGTTTTATGTGACCAATGAAATCGTTCTATGTTTTGGTCCAGGAAGCCAACCAATCACAGAGTTTCGTTCCTCCCTTTTTAAATTAGCATAGAGCAGTGGATAAAACCCGCCTGCTGTGACACAGAGCTACAGTTCTTTGAGTTTCACTGACTGAAATATCATGCCTGAACCAGCGAAGTCTGCGCCCAAGAAGGGCTCGAAGAAGGCCGTCACTAAAACCGCCGGCAAGGGCGGAAAGAAGCGCAGAAAGTCCAGGAAGGAGAGCTACGCGATCTACGTGTACAAAGTCCTGAAGCAGGTTCACCCCGACACCGGGATCTCCTCCAAGGCGATGGGGATCATGAACTCTTTCGTCAACGACATCTTCGAGCGCATCGCCGGTGAATCGTCTCGTCTCGCTCACTACAACAAGCGCTCCACCATCACATCGAGAGAGATCCAGACCGCCGTGCGTCTGCTGCTGCCCGGAGAGCTGGCCAAACACGCCGTGTCTGAGGGCACAAAGGCCGTCACCAAATACACCAGCTCGAAGTAGAGCGAGTCCGCTCAACAACACAAAGGCTCTTTTAAGAGCCACCCATATTATCTGTAAAGAGCTGTTGTTGCATATTTAATCACATGTAACGTTAGAGGAATATGCCGTAGAAAAATAAACTGTTAGCTGATGTTCATAATGATTTCCATAATACGGGAGTCGGTGTTAGAAAACCACTATCTCACAAACTCCGTAACCTGAACTCTCCGCAGCCCAACCATACGCGCCGACCCGTTTGACTGGCTGTCGAGCCCCACTGGTGCGTTAAGCAGTTTCAGTGGCAAACGGTTCCGTATGGCATAACAGAGGACTAAAAGGTAAGCATTATGTGAATGCTTGACTAAAGAGAAGCGTCTTTAATCTAGTTTTAAACTGTGTCAGCGAGTCAGAGGCTCGGACCGTATCGGGAAGGCCATTCCAGAGTTTTGGAGCTAAATGCGAGAACGCCCTCCCTCCTTTAGTGGACTTCGATATCCTAGGAATGACCAGAAGCCTTGAATTTTGTGATCTTAAGGAACGCGGTGGATTGTAGGGCGAAAGAAGGTCCGTTAAGTACATAGGAGCTAAACCGTTTAGGGCTTTGTAAAAAAATAAATAAAAATAGCATTGATGTCACATTATAAACTAGTGAGCAACTCTGGCCCTCGAGATCCACTTTCCTGCAGAGTTCAGCTCAAACCCTATAATGAAAAACAACACACAACATTATTATTATTATTTTTTATTACAGTTTATGGTTATGAAATATATAGTTTTCAAAGGTTTATAAATACAATATAATTTTTATAATGAAATCAATAGCCTACATTGGGTGAATGCCTCACTAATGAGTTCCTGATTTGTATATTTATAATGATAAAGGTAAGAAATAAGAGTTAAGAGCAAGAGTGCTGTTTTTCCAGGAAAAGCGGCGATACATAAGCATACATATATTGGCGATGTGACTTTGTAAATGAAGACTATGGCACTACACACACACACACACACACACACACACACACACACACACACACACACACACTGCACACACACATTATTTTACTGTAGTTCACTCGAGCTGAGCACACAGACCTAAAGACACAAATTACAGAATATATCATGTTTTTTTTTGTCCGATTTCCATTCTAAGGATGTTCATATTGATAATACTGTAATATTACTTTGTCTTCTGGGTAAATTTCCTCTTCATAAAGCCAGAAACGTTCACTGTAATCCCAATCTTAGAATGATCTCCTCTGATATAAAGTCACTTTTACTTCCTTTAAGAAAATGTCAAAACCTTTGAACACAAGGGCTTCGAAAAAATCTATCATTGAGTCTGTTGAAATGAACCTTTCATTTAAAAAAGCCAAAAGAATGAACACGTCATACGCATGTGCATGACGTCACCATTTTCAAATGAGCATTTTTGTATTTACAGGGAGATGATAAGGGTCTCGTTTACAAAGACATAAAAAGTCTTTCGTCAGGCTCGTTTATTCTCTGCAAAAATACCCCAATAGCCTTTGTTTTGTATCACAAATGTACATTCCACATTAAATTACAATCGCAAGAATCACTTTGTTCTGTCAAAAAGTTTATTCCTCTGTTACGGCGTACTGACTTTGGTCTGCAGCAGATGAAACTGTGAAATACACACAAAAAAATATTTTCAACATTTAAACGGACGTCTTATTTTTTAATTTTTTTTTTATTATTTTTTTCCACTGCAGTTATTGCTTTCATGAATGACCATCATCTGTTCAAAATATAGATCTATATAATATATACAAGACAGGCAGTAAAGGCATATCTGTCAGTGAGAGAATATGTGAATAAATTGTGTGTGTGTGTGTGTGTGTGTGAGAGAGAATGTGTGTGTGTGTGTGTGAGAAGTTTTACCTCTCGCTCTGTAACATTTGAAAAGCAGCACGACTGTCGCTAACAGATACGGAGAAGCTGCCAGAAGAAAACTGAGGATTTTGTAGACAGAAATCTGACCTGGAAAACAGAAACACAAGAACATTATTGACCAACAAAGTTTTGTGTGTGAATGCTGCAACACTACTGACTCCGTGATTGGTAGATCAGTGGAGGGAGGAGCATCAGACCAAAACACAACATGACATCATCAACATCAGTTGAAGGCTAAAACTTCACTTTTTAAATGACAATATCCTGGCCGGACTACAGTTGTCAGTGATATAATATTTGAAATGAACATTATGTCTTAATGTCTAGTGACATATCAGGGCCATTTTATGATTATTTGAAATAAATTTCTTACATACAGCTCCTTTAACTGGTCTCTACCTTTACCCGTTTATTTTGTTTGATTTGTACAGTTTTATGCCAGTCAGAAATCATTATCCGCATTTCCAACACTATCTCACGACCAATTCGTACGAATTCGACGCATGATTAAAAAGTGGCTAATTCGTAACAATTCATACGACCTCACTCGTACTAATTCGTACGATTTGTCTAAACCCACGTGATGGTTATGTTTAGGGGCGGGGTCAGGGGTAGGTCATTCGTACGAATTCATACGAATTGGCTAATTCGTAAAATATGTACGATTTAGCAAAATCGTATTAATTCGTACGAGTGAGGTCGTATGAATTGTTACGAATTAGCCACTTTTTAATCATTCGTCGAATTCGTACGACTTGGTCGTGAGATCGGGTTGGCATTTCCACTGTGGAGCCAGTGCGAGCGAGGGCTAGAAACGGCCAGTCGGGCCGATAGTGTCCAACTGCGATCTTAGACGCCATAATTAAACTGCATAAACTGGTATTTATAATAATTTTACACAGAAGAAGAATACACTTATTGACAGAAATTAGACTTAGACTTAGACTTAGACTTATCTTTATTAATCCTTAGGGATGACTCCCAAAAGGAAATTGAAAATTCCAGCAGCAGTTTTAGCAAGAAAAAAGAAGGAGAATAAACAGAAGACAGTACAAACAACAAAATTAACAATAATAATAATAGTCAAAAAATCAACAAAAGAAAAAAAAAAAGACCATAAAAAAGTGTAAGTATTGAGTCCAGTATTAAAGTGCTAGAGCGATAAAGTAAAGTGACCAGGCATTAATGCAAGTCCAGATAGATATATATGTATTTATATATATTGTCCTATCGTCCTCTCTACCCTATTTCCTCCTCCCCCCTAATGAGGAGTTGTAGAGTCTGATGGCATGAGGAACAAAAGAGTCCTTCAGTCTGTTTGTCCGGCACTTGGGAAGGAGCAGCCGTCCACTGAACCGGCTCCTCTGGTTACTGATGATGGTGTGCAGGGGGTGGCTGGCATTATTAATAATGTCCAGCAGTTTGTCCAGTATCCTTCTCTCTGCCACCATCACCATTGAATCCAGTTTCATGCCGATCACAGAGCCGGCCCGCCTGATCAGTTTATCCAGCCTATTGGTGTCCTTCTTGGATATGCTGCCCCCCCAACACACCACAGTGTAGAAGAGGACACTGGTAACCACAGACTGATAAAACATACACAGCAATTTGCTGCAGATGTTAAAAGAGCGTAGTCTCCTCAGGAAATACAGCCTGCTCTGTGTCTTCCTGTACAGATGGCTTGTGTGTGTTGTCCAGTCCAGTTTGTTATCCAGCCACAATCCGAGGTATTTGTATGATTTGACTGCCTGCACCTCAACTCCTTCCAGCAGGACCGGTTGCGGATCTGATCTGGACCTCCCAAAGTCAACGACCAGCTCCTTTGTCTTAGTGGTGTTGAGCTGTAGGCAGTTAGTGCGACACCAGAGAGCAAAGTCCCCCACCAGACTCCTATACTCCTCCTCCCTATCACCCTTAATGCACCCAACAATGGCTGTGTCATCTGCATACCTCTGTATATGACACAGCTCCGAGTTGTAACAAAAGTCCGAGGTGTACAGGGTGAAATAAGAGCTAGAGACTATATAATAGTATATAATAATGGTGTGGCGTTTCTCATTAAATCATCTCACCATTAAAGGCTTCAGTAACTGAGATCCAGCTGTGGAGAGACTGTCCTCTCTCTGTTTTACAGGAGTAGAAACCCTCATGTGACTTTGAGACAGTAGTGATGCTCATCTCTCCTGTCGTCTGATTCTGGATCAGTGATCCGTCTTTATAGAAATCAGCGCTGGAGATCGAGGAGTTTGTAGATCGATGTAAACAGTGTAGAGTCAGAGTCTCTCCCTCAATCACAGGATCAACAGAACTCTCCAGAATCACCTCACCGTCTACAAACACGAGACATACATCAACAGCTGCTAGTGATGATACTGTACTGATGATACTGATGTACTGATGATGTAGTGATGATAATGTATTAATCAGACCCATATTTCAATTATTGATGTGGAGGGCTAAAATGTTCACTATCAATAATCTGGGAAACTGACACTTTTATTCAGCAGGGATTCACTATCAAATGTGACGCATTGATCAAAAAAGATATTTATAATGTTACAAAATGTTTAAATTTCAAATAAATCATGTACTTCAAAGTTTCTATTTATCAAAGAAAAAAAAAATTCCACAAAAAATATTGAAATATTTTCAACATTGGTAATAATCAGAAATGTTTCTTAAGCATCAAATCATCACATTGTACTGATTGCACTGAAGACTGGAGTAATGATGCTGGAAATTCAGATTTGATCACAGGAATAAATGACATTATATTCACATGTTCACAAGGGTTATTGTAACATATAAGTGTTACTATATATATATATATATATATTATATATAAAATAATACACTTAATTATAGTGTAGTGTATTTTATTTTATTATATTATATAGTTAAAATCTTGATATTATTATAATATTTTTAGTCTTGAACAGATTAGTTGTTCATTGTTATATAGTTGTGAGTGGTTGGACTCACCGTGTACAGTGATGTTTCGAGGACGGCGTTTCTCTCCAGATTCAGACTCACACCAGTACACTCCAGAGTCAGATGTGCTGAGAGAGTCGATTACACATCCAGATCCTGTTTGTTTGGCACAGGTTTGTGTGTGTGTGTCTGTGTATCTTCTCACTGTCCATCCAGCAGAGTTACTCTGATCCACACAGCTCAGAGAGAGAGACTGAGATGAGAAGTGTTGACTTCTGCTGGGATCGATGACCAGAGACACTGAAGCAGAAACTCCTGAAAAGAGGAAAATCTCCATCAGAACTGACAGCACAGAGACTGCAGTGAAACACAGATGCGGATGAGCACAAGCAGAAACCCTCACCAGTGAGCCACAGGTGTGTGAGCTGCTGTTGTGTGTGTAATAGGCTGGTCGTCCTCTCTCTGCTCTGCACGTATAAACTCCTGTGTGCTGTAGAGCAGCAGGACTGAAGAGTGTAAGATCCTCCAGCTCCTCTGCTGCTGTCTGACAGATGATCATGATCTCTGAACCAGCTGAACGTCCAGCCTGTAGAGGAGCCTGAAACCTCACAGATCAGAGTCACTGATTCTCCTTCAGTCAGCCACGGCTGTGGAGACACTCGCAGTGATGCCTGAGCTTCAGCTGAACAAAACATCACGAGTTACAGAGCCGTAGAGGAACTGATGGAGAAGCTGATCACACACACACACACACACACACACACACACACACACACACTCACACACACACTTACCTGAGACAGTCAGTGTAACAGCATCACTGCGCTGAGAGCTGAGAGTGTGTATCAGTCCTGTACAGGTGTATTGACCGCTGTGAGAGAGATCGACACTGCTGATGATCAACTCTTGTGTTGAGGTTCGACTGACAGTGTTTTTATATCGGTCGTTGGTTCCCTCTATTTCCCATCTGTATGTCCACTCAGTGTCTCCTGCCCACTTTATATCACATCTGAGAGTGACTGTTTCTCCTCTAAACACTCGTTCATCAGGTCGTACCGTCACCACAGCTTTAGGACTCACTGTACAAACACAGATTATTGCATTTATAGTTTCAGAAGTTGTGTAGATATTGTCTCTGATCTGTATTTGTTGCATCACACACTACAGTCTCTCTCACCTGTAACATTTACCCACAGTGCATCACTGTATTGTGTGTAATAGACTGGTTTCCCTCTTCCAGCTCTACACCAGTACTGGCCTCCATCAGACACTGAATCAATCTTCAGGCTGTAGGAGTGTGTTTGTGTCTTCTCTGTCTCGGGGTTCAGTGTGTGTTTGTACCAGTAAATGTCCCAGTCTCTGGTTAGATTCATGCGACAGGTCAAAGTCACTGTGTTTCCAGTCAGTGCAGCTCCTGCAGGATCTGATGTGAGTTCAGGCTTCGGCTGTAGATCTGCAGGAGAACAACAACAGATTCAGATCCTCCAGAGTCAGAGTTCACCTGAGTTACACAAATCATTCATTGTTTGTCTACAACTACATATATAAAATGGTTCAGTTTTGTTCTAATGAGAGGGTGTGTGTGAGATTAAATGATGACAATTTTCATTCTCAGGTGAGCTAATGTTGAAACTTTGGAGTGAGTGTCAGATAAAATACTTCTTAAATCTAATGTTTCATGAACTGTAAATCATAATCAGATTCAAAACGATGAAACTTCTGAAAACCAAAGCTGCATTTGTATAAAAACTCAGAAATTCTCAGAAAGAACAAGCAGCTAAAAAAAAAAAAAAAAAAAAACGTACACAAATGTTTTATGTTTATTAAAAAACTTTGTTTCTGAATAGATGTAATCGACATTAAATTATCAGCCATTAACAGAACTATTTTT